AAATTTCGCTAACGCTATCAGAAGACGAAGATTATCTGAAAAATGTGATGTATTTGCGCAATACATTTCGAACAATCTGATCACACATTTACTTGTCAAGTCAATTTATATATGAAAATTAAAGGTCAAATATAGTGAATATGAAAAGGTTGTGACACTAGTCTTGGTAATACAATCAGATAAGGATTACCAAGGTAAATTAAGTGAAACAACAAATTGTTTTTGTACACACAGTGGGGGATTAAGTTTACGAATGGCTAACGCTTCGGCAAACTTCAGTATGCGCCCCTGATTATTCCTGTATATTATCTTAAACGCTGTTTTCGTATTAACCCTGTGATTCATTTCAATAATATGTTTTGCTATAGATGACGATGGATGTCTGTCACCTGCACTTATCAAAGTTTGTGTGTTAAACTGTTTTTCTAGCCATTTGGGGATGTGTTCACCCACCCTAGTCTGCATTGAACGATTACTCCTCCCTATGTATGTGTGCCCACACATACATGTAAATTGGTAAACACAGTGGGATGTGATGTAATCATTTGTGCGAGGTTGAGGTTTGTGGTGAAGCAGGTGTTTTGTCGTCTCAACAATGATAAGCTGAGCTGCATAGTATGTTTTACTGATAACAGATTTTAATCTCTGCTTCAATATCATACTACTTGTTTCCCCTCTGTATGGTACTTTAAGAAATATGCTTTTCTTCGGGACCGAGGAAACTGTAGGCTTTGGGGTCAACTGTTTTTTACAATGGTTGACAAACTGTAATGGATAACCGTTTTCCACTAGAGTGTCTGTCAGAAACTTATTCTCATCATCCATCGTATCAGATGTACAAATACGTTGGATTCTATTGAACAAGCATCTTACCAAGCCTCTCTTATATTTCATCGGACAAAAACTATGGAAATTCAAATACTGTCCTGTCCAAGTAGACTTCCTATATATTGATCGTCTTATAGATCCATCTTCCCTCCGGCACAAGAGTATATCAAGAAATGCAAGTTGATGGTCTTTTTCTTCCTCACATGTCAGACTGATATGATCTTGTACGGTATTAAGCCTTTTTAACAACCTCTTGGCATCCTCATCTGTGTCACATATTACAAAGATATCATCCACATACCTTCTATAGAGTGTGACATTGGTGATTAGATCTTGAGCCATTAGTTCAGTATGTGACATATATACATCAGCTAATAACGGTCCTAATGGACTCCCCATGGCTACACCATCAATTTGCCGAAAGTGTTCACCTTCGAAAGTGAAATGAACCTTATCAGTACATAATAAAAGCAGTTCTTTCAAATAAGTTGAAGGAATAGGGAAAGAAGGATAATTCGAAGATATGTGGTCACAAAGAATATTAATTGTCTTCGTTAGAGGCACATTTGTAAACAGAGAGTTAACATCAAAAGAATACATTTTCTTATTTTTAATATTCAAATCAGTAAGATAATCAACAAGTTCAAACGTATCTTTCAGTGAATACTTACATAAATCATTACGAATCGGGCTCAGTAATTCGGCTAACCATCTCGCCAATTTGTGTGTGGGAGACTGACACATTGACAATATTGGGCGTAGTGGATTATCAATTTTGTGAATTTTTGGAAGTCCATATAGATTTGGGAAATTAGATCCCATGGGTTTCAAGGAATTAAACTCCGCTTTAGCAATGACATCCGTGTTAAGGAGTTTAACTAGACTAGTTGTTACTTTTCTTTCTAATTTTCTTATATCCTCTGACGGAACATCTGCCAAGAATTTACTTTTATCACAAAGAATAGACAACATTTTATTTTTGTAGTCTACTTTGTCCATCAACACAACACCTGATCCTTTATCAGGCTTAAGAATTATCACATCAGGATTCCTCTGTAAGTTTTTCAGGGACTTGAAGTGTTGCGTAGTTAAAATGCATCTCTGTTTCGGACCTGGGTTATGGAATTGATGGGCTATATCAACTAGTTTAGCCTTCAACCAACTCTGGTTGTCCGAAGAGGTAGGGACTAGAGAAGTTAACTGATCATATAAATTTTCGAAATGGGCATCGATGGCTAAATCATTGTTATGATGGTATGGGACAGAAAAATTAAATCCAAGGGAAAGAGATTCTTTCTCACATACCGAAAGTTCAACTGAAGACAAGTTCGTCACATATTTATCTGGATTTACTGGAAATGACTCTATGTGAAGGTCACTGATACACGATTTCAATAACTTTTCTTTAGCTTCCACCTTCGTTTTAATCATAACTGAACTACAAAAATTGATAAATTTGATATGACAAACTAGAGACAACACAGAAGAAGCAGATACATGAAGTTCAATTAATCGGCACAACTGTTAATATGAGAGTTCGTAAGACGAATAAGATTTGAGACATTAGGATGTAATTTTGAACATCGTAACGATTTATAGAATGGTCTTGAAAAGTAAATGTGTGATCAGACTGTTCGAAATGTATTGCGCAAATACATCATTTTTCAGATAATCTTCGTCTTCTAATAGCGTTATCGAAATAAAATGGTTTATTAGTTTTTGGATAAAATAAGTATACATATGGTTCTTTTTTATGTTAAGTTAGTGCTTCTGTGTGATGGTTCATCAACAGTTGCCCCTTGCGCTCACTCGATACTGAAGATGGAGATCAGATGGCCAGAATAATAAGAATAAGGGAGGAGGAACTCTGGCTGGCTGGCTGGCTGGCTGGCTGGCTGGCTGGCTGGCTGGCTGGCTGGCTGGCTGGCTGGCTGGCTGGCTGGCTGGCTGGCTGGCTGGCTGGCTGGCTGGCTGGCTGGCTGGCTGGCTGGCTGGCTGGCTGGCTGGCTGGCAACGAACCAACGAAGCAAGAACCCATCGCCCAACAAATATGCAGTGGAAGAAGGTGGAGATGGATTGAATTTGGCACACACTGAGAAGGCTGATTGGGGACATCAGGCACCAGGCCAGACCCTGGAGTGGAAGCAAGATGGGAAACGACGAGTTGGGCGTCCGAGGTGAGGTTGACATGGAGGAGATGGTGTGAGGGAGAAATGAAAGCTTGTGGGCAGTTGTGGAGCGAGGTTGAAAAGACTAGAGAGAAGAGAATGGAATTGAGGCGTGCTACTGAAGCCCTATGTTCCACTTGGAACCCAAGAGATAAATAATAAATAATTAATAATAATAGTGATTCTTTTTTTAAGCCTAAGAATAACTTGTTTGTCATAAATCAGACAGTCTAGAGAGAACTTTAGTTTAAAAATCCCACTAACTGTACGAAAACTATTATTGGAGTTTCAAGAAATCGTCACCTGAACAAGGATTTATGTTAATTATTTCTTGGTTTCAGGCCAGTCCGATCAATCAACCTACTACTGAACAATTTGTGTAATTCGACTTGGACACACGATTCTGCATATAGTGAAACAGTCCGAATTTATATTCCTCGTTTAGGTTTAGCTTTTAAGTTTCTCTAATGTAGTATATCGTATGTTCATGGTCCTATGCAACTTGTGTGCAACTCACATAGCTTGGTGATTAACCTCCTCAGAAACAATAGGTTATGTATGAATACAGCTTTGAATACACGCTTATTAATCTCAGATTGTCGATTTTTTATCAGAATTTGGACCACTTTCAATAATAGTACTCTGGCGATGGTATATAGTAGGTTGATTAGTTTTCGTTAGACTATTTACAATGAAGCATTTTAGCACTATCTGAGTAAACGAGTTTTGTGTAGAAAATAATTATTCAGTTACTGTGTGCATTAACAGATGAAGACCATACGCCCCAGTGTTTGATATCATATTCTCAACATTGTCGTCATGATCATTTCCATTTTCATCTTCAAAATAGCTTCAGCTGCAGTTCGAATAACTGGTATTCTTAAAAAAATACGAAGTACTACAGTTTTCGTATTTTATTGTAGTTGCTTGCTTACTAACCACTTTCCCAAATCTTAATACTCTTGAGTTTTCGGTTGGCATTTAATGATTTTAATCACTACTTTTAAAAGTCACTAATTCTGTTTACTGTAGAATAAGCAGTAGCATTCAATAGTGAATTTTCAAACGAAGAGGATGTCTAAACCTTCTGTTTAAAAGTGTTTGTGTAGATAAACTTTCAAACATATTTCGTCTTTCTCATTTCCTATTTGGTTTAGTTTAAGACAAAACTGATCTTCTGGAAATGGTTTTGAGATTTGAAGGTTTATATGATTCACAGAATTCCTCATGTAACCAAGAGACCTCAGTTTCGAATCATTAAGTAGCCTATTTTCAGTGTTAACCTTGCTCATCATTGTGTTTCTGAAATTTATTAATATCAAAGGCATTTTAATAGCAAAGGTTTCAAGGGAACATCTGGCTAATCTTTACATAAGTAAATTTTAAATAATCCTAGCTTGTTTAGAAAATCACAACAAGATTTTTCTAAACGTTTCACTGTGTATGTTTTGATTTTCTAAACACTGGGATTGTATTAAAACTGACTTATATGGTGATTAAACCTGACTCAACACTGAATTTCTTTCAGGTTGTTTATAAATATCTGGTTACTTGTAAATTAATCAGTAGTCAAACTAATCAGCACATAAATGTCGTGAGGCACTTTGTCAGCATACGGTTAAATCACAATACGAGAAACTAAGGTATTAAAGTAACTTTCATGTGGAAGAATTTTTCAGCTTTAGCAGGAAATTTTTTAGGCTGATCTCGCTCCATAAGAAATGGCAAATAGTTTTGTCCTAAGAATATGGTCAGCTATGTTGCCTGAAAGAGAATTATTTCAAATATTTGCTTAGGCTTAGTTTATTCTGAGACAGACAACACAAATGGTCAATATATCGCGGTTTTGGAGTTAGTCTTTCCAACCTGAAGTCTTTCAGATTTTCAAGTGTAACCAAAGCGTTCGCTTTTCTTTTTACCATTCAGTTACATGAGAGCTTAAGTTTTTTTCTTACTCAGAAATGCTTTCGAACTCACACATCTGTTTTTTTTATTTTTATGCAGAATATGGAATCATCACAAATATGGATGAGCACTAACAGTCTCAAAGAGGAGGATGAAGTTTCATGTTTGAGCAATTCATTGACATCCCCCATTATTTCAAATGATAAGAAACGGAAATGTGATTCATCCAGATTCTATGCTACAGTACAAAGAAGGCATGTTAGCATTTTTTTGTCGATCAGCCTAGAAGGCTTCGAACTTATTATCTAAATGATATACGTCGTTATGTTTTGCTATATTTTTTCTTCTCGAATGGTAAATAGTCGCTCGATAGACGATTTAAGGACACCCGAGTAACTATCGTAATAACCAATTAGGTTTCTGCATTTCAGCCGGAAAGACAGATTTCCATAAGATAGAAAAGTCTGATTGGTTATTTCAGTAGTTGTTAGGGTGGCTTTTAAAGTCACTCCAACTGATCTTTGTTAGATTAACTTCTTGCAGTTAAGCCCCTAATAGTATACCAATAAATACGTACATTTCATTTTGCAAACGTTCGAAATGCAACACATTCTAAACTTAGCTGTAAATGATCAAGAGTTGAAACGATAACCTGAATGAAATGATGGAAGACTCATTTTTTGGTCTGATTGTTGATAAGCAATAACAAACATAATGGCAAATATTTTTTAACCATAAAATAACTCATGCTCATGAAATGTATTTTACTGAGACTGTATGAGATAGCCATTGTTTGAGAAACTGGAACTTTTCGTGTAGGATGATGATAACGTCCGTTCCCCTATGTATTCGGTTCGAGATCTACCGTAACATAACTTCCCAATTTTTACCTTGGATCATCCACCTATGTCATTGGTCAGGTTAGTGTCAACACGGCCTCTACTACGTAATGGTTCAAGTTGTTACAACTCGTAGCAGGTGAAAATGTATCAAGATGAAGAAATAAAGAAGAATTTAGTCAAAAGTCATAGGTTGATGTCAGGATTTAGTTTAGCTGACTTCAGTCTGTTTACGTCCTAAACCTAGTTCAGCTAACATTGTGCGACGAGGCAGATGGTGACTAAGTCAATGATAGTTCCAAAAACCATCCGCAAACATTTTCTTCTGGTTAACGATCTGTGTCTGACTTCTAAGCTTCTGACGTGGTGACACATAGTCTTTGCTAAGAAGCAAGAAGTGGCTGAACACTTAGAGTCTTCTCATTTCCATCAACTTTGTTGGTCATTTTTCACAGTCATTTAGTATAAAAGAGTGATCTGTAGCTCACTACACTTGACCCCTAATAGGGGATCGGATATCATTGTGACACCATAAATCGACGAAAACCAATCGAGCCTTTTTTTATCTATTCAGTGGTTTCATCGGTCAGTGATCCATTACAGCTGATCCGACTTTCCGCAGGACTTTCTTATAGTTAAACAAGGCGAAAGTGAAGACAGGTACTAGAGAAACAATTTCCAATTGGATGGTGAAAAACTCATCTCAAACATTTTCAAATTGGCACCCAAGATGCACAAAAGACTGCATTTTGTCAACGTCTCCACCTGAAGAACTATGTCATTTGCTTACTAAGAGTTCACTAAGGCATTTCCTGTAACAAGATCTGTTGCTGTGAAGACAAATGGTGGAAGGGAGACGTCAGTAAGTACGTCTACAATAAAATTAATAACACTGATGAGAGCGAACACCCATGATGAAACCCATTCTATGTACACGGTTCACCTGATAATTCTGTATAGGCTCTGACATGTCCCTGCGTATCGGAATAAAGAACCTTCAAAAGGGTGATTTACCTAGCTGGCATCCCTATCAGTGAGGGACACTGCTAGAACCCTCTTAGTCAACGGAGTAAAATACAAACTTCAGACGGAGAAATGCAGTCAGTATCGGGCGTCGGTAAGTGTGCCTGTGTTCCAGAACCTGGTGGAGGGTGAATATTTGGTCGATACACCAAAGATCAGATCTCGACCCTTTTCCTGGTTTTCTCAGACTCCCTGTTCTCGAGTTCCACTTAGATGTCTTATGATCATAGAACCTACAGTCTTAGATATACTGATTTTTCGGTGGTTATCACAAGAGGATTTCTCGGTTTTCTTGAAGACTGGGACGATGAGCAACTGAGATTCATCAGACGAGTTCTTATCTGACCAATAACTTATGACCACCGTCCTTCAATACCTTTAGTACTAGTCCATCCTGTCATTCCTTGTTTGAGATTCTTTACAGCCCTCTCAACGTCAGAAAGACGTGGAAGCTCTATTTCAACGATCCACTCAGAATCCAATTGGGTAGCAGGCAACGTAATAGTAACTAGAGGCCAGTTGAACTGTTCCTTCGTTCTAGTCGTCTGTCTTCTGAGTGAATCATACACGTGGTCACTATCAGGGCACGTGCTCCAGAAAAGGCAGTGATCTTCCACTAACTCTCCTCAGCCATAACTGATAGCTGTTTTGTCTGTCTGTATCCAGCGCTGAGTCTGAAGTTCGTGTTATTCAGAAAAAGATGGTTATTTAAGCCCTCTTGGAACAGGTGCTCGCCATTTTCCGTTACTTCGTCAGGGTTTCCTAAAGTGCCACCTAGGTCCCTTTGTGCCTGACTTAGCCTACCAACTTGTGGATTGAAATCGCTTGAGATGACAATCCCATTTGAACGTCCGGTCTTCAGTAAAACGGTAGGCAGCTTTTGGTAGAACTCATCTTTTTCTTTGTTCTAAGTGGAGTTATTGGGTGCACTAGGAGAGACTACGAAGGGACGAAAGCGAGTTTTCCTACTCTTTTTACTCCTTACTACACCGCTTAGTAGAACAGTGCTGAGGTGACAGTTACCTGAGATCCAATTCAGCAGTGCACTTTCTGTCTTGATCCTCTACCTGCACCTGAAGGACCCCAAGAACTACCTATATAACCTCCGGAAACTCTAATAGCGAGTTTCTTTATTTTGGCTGAGTGAGGTTACGTGAATAACTGCACTTCAGATCCTTTATGCATGTCCCACAATTAGCAAAATCCATGGCCGGAGATGACAGAGTTTTGGTTAGCGAAGCTTGTCAACCTGTTTGATGACACTGAAAGCTCCAAAATATCACTTGAAGTATGGTTCAAGAAGACCAAGAATTCTGTTCCATTAATTCAAATCGTTATCAAAAGCTTTATATCTGGAAGAAATAAAATATGATGTAGGGATATTGGCAGCGAGATGTGAAGGAAAGTCAGAAGGGAAGGATGTGAAAAGTGATCTGAAGGAATTTGAGGAGTGACAGAGTTGTGAGGACTCTTGACACCTTGCGGCTGCTCACACCGTGAAAAATTAACTCTTAAGGTATCTGAAAAAGGAATTGTATTAATTATAGAGGTACTTGATCGCAAAACCCAAAGAAAATCTGCTTGAGATCAGTCGTATAGTCTTTTTGTAAGCCTGAAATTCAGTTTGTTTGTTTTGAATTCTGCCTTTACCCATAAAGTCGGCACCGGAAGACAGCAAGGAAGGGGGGAGGGTGATATTTTTGTGGCTTTCCTTTCTTAACCCACCTTCCCACAGAGAAGGTAGCATCAACATGACACTTCTAACCATCTGCTAGAAACACTTTACTGCTGTCACACCCTGTCCAGGCAGCAGTACGACTTTGTTTTCAGACCCCCATCACAGGGTAGTAATTTGCACCATAATGGTAACTGCTTTCCTTCTAACCACTATCCGACTGATCTTCCTAGTATGACAGAACCTAAAAAAACAGACGTCTCAGCCAATGTAGTTCGTATGGTCATTGTGATATGCAAGCCAAAAGTCGAGACCAACTGTATTGTAAATACCACTGTAATGAGCCATGGTTATCCCAAATGGCGTCATTAATAATCAGTCAGCTGCCTCTTCTCTAACTGAGCTCCATTTTAGCTGGACAGAAAGGATCTGACTGAGAGGTTAGTTCGATAATGATGAACAGACAATTACGTGTGATACTTTCATATGGCTAAAACCTGGTCAGTAGCTGGGTTTCGAGGCACAGTCTTTAAATTGTCTGTGACCCATAGGTAACCGGTTTGAATCCTGTGGTGATATATATATATATATATATATATATATATATATATATATATATATATATATATATATATATATATATAATAACACCCGAAGCAGATAAAATTACCATATCATATAAGTTCTGATCAATAGAAATATGTATTGCGAAATATGAAATTGTTACTGTCTTCAGTCAGTTGGTCAATATCTTGAACTCCTCTCTTTATAAACAAAAGTTTTGACATAACAGTTTCATTGCATACCTTGTTATGCAAATTTGTGAATACTTGTTGAGTTAAATTAATGTTATGAACTTATTGACAAAATGTTACAAAGTATCTACTAAAGATGGATACTTTGTTTTGATGTAGAACTCAGTCAACAGGAAGCTCTAGGCACTCAATAACAAAGTATATCAACAACCTCAAGGAAATCTATATAACCTTATAGATTCCAATCCACCTCAATCAATGATAAAGTTAGAGATTTTGCCATGAAGCCAATAAGATCGTGACTGACTCCATGTAGTACCCAATACTGTAGACAGGTCACTCATCATATGAAAAACAATATGGTCGTCAAATATTGCTTTGAGTGAGGACTCAAGTCTGTCGATCGACACATGAAAACATTAGCTTGATCCTGTTCAAACTGACGAAACTAATCTCACTTTGATTCATGTTTATTATATTTGACTATATGAACAACTTTGAGTGGTGGTGGTTTTCTTGTCAAATTTGCATCAGCTGATTTCAACTACTGTTATATACTAATTTGTAGTAAGAATATACATTTTACAATCAAATTAGGCATTTCATTCACTGACTCAACATTTCAGTGTGCTGTGTTTTGTTATGTCCACTTGAGGACATTATTGAGTTCAATACTAGTTGGAGTAACTACATAGCTAATGGAAACAATGATTTCGCAAGTATAAGCATGAATGCTTTGGGGATAAGCAACCAGAAGTATTTAAAGTGAAGTAAACAAGACTTGATAACTCATACTGGTCACTATTAACCAGAAATCTGTAAACGTGAATCACTTTCATTTCTACGAATGGCTCCAATCCTGAAACTAAGCATACGGCTTGTGATTATTCAGTAGCTAGTCATGACACTTTCAGTTAAACATGTTAGTTGTAATTTTGACTCTGACTTCGAGCTTTTTAACATTGATCCACATGATTGATTATCATTATTATATAGCTATTCACTTAAGTAGTAGAGGATCAGTTTCAAACTGCCTTATTTCGACTGAATCTTGTAATATGACATGAAGCATCAAAAATATCACTTTTCTTATTTTATTTATTTCAGTAACTATAAAAATCTTCGATCGATAAGATTTTGTTTTGTAACTAGGAAAGAGAATAGGTATTGATCAAGGGAATTTTGTCACTGAAAGTTTACTTTTTCGTATATTTCACATAGAAATCTGTAATTAGGATGATGACAGAAATACTGAACACACAAAGTATTAGTGTTTAGTCACTAGGCATTTCTTCATTCCAGCAACTGTTTGTTTCTTTTATTTAGTGACTTTTCCGATCAAAGCATCAATCATTTCAAACAACAACAAACTGAAAATGCAGGTTCGACATTCAATCTCAAGAGTCAACTATCACACTGGTCAGATTTAGACTTGTCAAAGCTAAATAATAGAGAAATAAAACAACTATTGGAGAAACTGCATTCGATTGGAAAATTGTATGGTTGCATTGATTGTCAAACATTTTATCTCGATGAAAAAATGGCCAATTTTCATTTAACTAAAATGCATGTAAAACAGCTACATAGTAAGACATTTCAATGTTTCAATTGTGGCACAGATTTGAATAATTCTCTACTATTCTTGAAACATTTTACGCATTGTCTATCGTCGACCAAATTTAATGGTATGGATTTGTCAATTCAGTCTTTGACATCAGTAAATTCAGTCAGTGAAATTACCGACAGTGAATTAATCCAGAATGAAAGTGAAAATTTAAAATCACTAGAAAATCACATATCGGAAGAAACAATTAATTCTTGTATAGACGTTCCAACAGAAATTTCAGACAGTACACAGAAAGAAATTACTACTACTCCCATTAATGAGAATAATACAAGTCACTCCCCATTCACAGGTATAAAAGAACAATCAGAGATCCAAATCAATGGTCATAATCCAGAGAAAAAGGAAGCGGATGAAGAAACTGATCGTACATCATGGAGTATGGGGTTTCCTAATTCCCTAGATCCTCGATCTACAGTAAAATCTGTTGATTCAGATACACGGGAATAAGATATGAGATGCTGTCACATATAAATCCATTTCAGCTACCATTCAGTATCGTTTGACAAAGTTGGTGAATTTATTGTATTTGCTAGAATTTCTGGTGTTTATCAGGAAAACACAAATATTACTACACTATCTCTTCTTCCCCTATGTTTATCTATCGTTGAAGTCAATTTTCATTTCGTTTATTTGTAGTCATTTTGTTTTATCTTATTTTGTATCTTCGTTTGTTTGGTTGTTTGTTTTTGGAAAAAAAGGAAAGAATGAAATGTTACACTGAACCACAATGCATTTAAACTAACTCAGGTATCAATGTCCTTGTTAAGAACTTCTCCCTCTCTTTTTCTCTCTCGATGCATAAAAATTAGTGAATCAACAAATGATTAATCAATTTTTCACGTTTCTTGTTTTTTGTTTTGTAAATTTTACCTGTTCGAAACTATTTCTGTGTAATCCCCTTTGTTCTCACCCTTTCTAAGAAAGAAAAGTACTAGCGATTATCCTTGTCTATTAGTAAACATCACGGTAACTATCATTAAAATGATAATTGTGTTTTTCTTGTTCCTTTTATCTTTTTATCTCCACCTAGTCTTTTTAATAGGTATAAAATGGTTCATTTATATTTGTTCCTTAACTTGTTCTCTTGTTTGTCCGATTTTGTTTCTTGGTTGAATTCCTCACTTCTTATGCTTCTGTATGATGAAAATATGACAATAGTAATGATAACAATAATAATAATGATGGAGAGTGCCTGAACAGATTACAATGGTACACATTCTAACATGAGTGTGCATGCGTATTATGCTGTATCTTTAATCATGATAAATTTTTATTATTTCCGCTGTAAACCAAAGTTGGTCTAATTTATCTCAAGAAAAATATGAAAGTTTCTCTCTTTATAACAGTGTGACTTCTTTACCCTAGGAAAACGAGTTTAATAAATGGTAGCAAGAAGATGTAGGCGTGGTATTCACTATGGTATATATTCATGGCATTTACAATAATTATAAGGAAATGGAGGAGGTGAAGAGGAACATAATTGCTAAGTACTAGCAAGATGCAAAGATGTAGTCGACTTCTTATAGCCTTTTAAGCATCATTGATCAGTATAATGTTTTAGCACAGTAAACAATGCTCAGTAACGAATTTTGTTACCGTTTGTTCTTTCACTTTCTTTTTTCATTTCTGTCATTTTGAAGCTTTTTCAAGCATACATTTTTTAATATTTATAACTTGGTAGAAATACCCAATTAAGAAAACTCGAACTTTGAAATAATGGAAAAATTTGTAGCTCAGGTGGATGGTATTGGTGTTGTTGGATTTTTGTTGCTGAATCGCTCTATCAACCAAAATATTCAGTTCAGAAGACGCAACAACACTGAAAGTCTACATTTCTTTAAAACATTTATTTCTCTGTTTTCTTTAAGCACAAATATTCGCATATACTTTCCCATATACATGAATGCACATAAATTTATACTCTGTTTCCTTAGAAGGTTTCATTTCAGAGGTAAACAACCCGTTTACTTTCATATTATGGTGGGAATGCATGTGACTAAAGTGGAAATATAAAAGTTAGGACTGACTTTAAGAGTGATTTTAAAGGGCGCCTTAGCGACTGATGAGACAATAGTTAACCTCCTATATTTTATGGAAAAGTACTTTCCCAGGTGAAAACCGAAGTCTGATTGGTGTATTCAGCAGTTGCTAGGGTGGCTCTAAGTCACTCTGACTTTAAAGCCACCCCAGCAACAACCAAAATAACCAATTCGGTTTCTGTATTTCGACTAGAAGGGGGGATTTTCGTAAAATACAGAAGCCTGATTGGTTATCTTGGCTGTTGCTAAAGCGCCATCATAGTCACTGAAAAGTACGGCTGACTCTAAAGGCCACCGTAGCAGCATCTGAAACAACCAATTAGACTTCTGTATTTTATAAAGACCTTCCTTTTTAGCCAAAATGAAAAAACACAACTGGTCATTTAATTCATTGCTAGGGTGGCCTTTAAAATCAATCAAAGTTAGGTCAACCCCTGAGTCACCCCAGCAACTGCTGAAATAAACCACGTGTTGGTATTTCGGCTGGGAAGGTAATTTTTCATAAAATAAACAGAAGTAATTGGTTATTCCAGGTGTTGTTAAGGTAACCTGTAGTCACTCGAGGGTTATGGGACAAATTGGTCGACTAAGAAGGCAGTTTTTCACGAAATCTAGAAACTTAACGGGTTATTTCACTTGTTGTTTGGTTGGCCTTTAAAGTTGCTCAAAAAAATCGCAATCAGTCGTCGTACTTTTCGAGCCTCCAATCAAAAATCTGTTGGATTTTACTAACTTCAGGATCAAAATTTTATGAGTGGTTTTAAGGACTACTTTAAAGGCCACCCTAGCAGCAATCGAAATAACCAATTAGGTTTCTTCATTCCGGCTGGTAAGTCAGGTTTTGGTAAGATACAGGTCTAACCGCTCATTTCGGTTGTTGTTAGGGTGGCCTTTAAAGTCACTCGAATTTTAAAATGTACTTCTTCTTCTCTTTGTGGTAACTTTAAAGTACTGACTTTATAGACCACCTTAGCAACAACACAACTGGAATAACCAGTCAGACTTCGTCATTTCATGAAAAACTACTTTTCTGTCCAAAATACTGAAACCTGGTTGGTTGTTTCAGAAGTTGCCCGGGGTGGCCTTAAAGTCGCCCCTCTAAAGGTCACCCTAGCAGCTGATGAAATAACCAGCCACATTCTTCGGTTCTATGAAAAACTATCTTTCCATACGAAATTCTGACATTTGATTGGTTAACTTAGGAGTTGCCAGGGTAGCCTTTAAAGTCAGTCCCCTTTGAGAGACCTTAAAGACCACCCAAGTAGCAGCTGAAATAACCAAGTAGACTTTCGTATATTTTGTGAAAATCTGACTTTTCAGCCCAAATGAAAAAAGCAAATTTGTTAATTCGGTCGTTTCTAGGGTGAACTTTAAAGTCATCAGAATAAGTTGAGCACTGGGTAAAGTGATTACAAGTGAAATATATTTGTAAAATCCCAGTGAGGTCAAAAAATAAATTTCAGACATTCTGCGACTTAGTGGAAAGCGCTTATTCAGAGAATAAAGCCGTTACAAGTTATCAACTATTTAAACAGAAAATCCGTTTACCATTTACTATTCTCTGAAGAAATGATTTCCACAAAGTCGTGAAATTTATTTTTCTGCCTAATTTAGATTTTACAGATATGTTTTATTTATAGTCTGTTGCAAATTTAATACAGTTAGACGGAGCTGATGAGACTAATATAAAGTATATAGCTGAAAATACTGGACGGTGAAGATCATGACTATTCCTTCATTGTCAATTTATAATAGGGAATATAATACGGTTAGTTGGTTTGCTCTACTTACACTTGCACTTCATTGAGACTGTTAATTCTTCTTCATTCTATTGAATCTTTAAATTTCCTCTTAGCCTTGGCAAAATATGTTACATTTTGGTCTTAGGCATAAAATGTTACCACTACCATGATGACGGTTTCATGGGCTACTACTGGTAATGATAAACAGTAGTACAAGATGTGATATGAAAACCTGGTGAGCGAAAGGCCACGTTTGGCTCTCAAAACCATCAAACAAATACTGTATAAAATCTTTGAAGCTGGAGAAAGCGTATATTAGTGCAGATGACATAAGAAACATTTCTCAAAGAGCGGAATAACACTAATTTCATTTTATTTATTGATATTCATTGTTTCTAGAAAGTCTAGCTTCAAATAATTAATCCTATTAGGTTTATATAGGTTGTTTAGTGGAGCTAGTAGTCAAAAGTTACGACTAACAGATTACTTCTAGCATGCCCGTCGTGTAAAAGGCTTCAGGTACAGTGCTAAGCAAATGAAGGTAAGTAAACATCCATTTGATATAATATCCTTCTAAAAAACGTTTAGTGTTAACCATTAGGTGCTCACCTAAATATCAACTAATGAATAGGCGACAGTACAGGATAACGTTATCAAAGGCCACAATAGAGTTATACTTATCACTGTTGACGAACCGTTACTTGATGGCTTTAAACAAACCTTTGCATGTGGAACAGGAAACATCCCAAAGGTATGGTGAAGATATCTGGATAATATATTCACTGTGTTGTAATCTGAAGATATCCATAAATCTTTCATACACATAAACTGAGTGATAGGTGTAATTCAGTTTACTTTCGGGACATTCTTGTTGCTTCCAGTTTCACAGAGGGAAATTCGTGCAAGAATTAGCCATATTCAATTGTAAAATAAAACGAATACAGGCTGGTGGTTTGGAAAAAAGTATCTACAGAAAACCATTTTATTTTAATAGAGCTGCAATTTAATTCACCTCACCATTCATCAAATGTTGTGGTAACCAAACTTAGAGTACGTACAGTGACTCAGAGAATTTAAATCAAGAGAAAAATGTTTGCCGAATTGTATGGATCATTTTGGAATATAAAAACTAAGCGAAAAGATTTATCGTGGTGATGCAGATTTAAGATTTTTGCTGGTTATAGATAATAGGCAGGAAGACCGGACTTAGATTTCATGCTTGGTGGCGCTTGACACTAAGGCGTATACCCAACCTAAAGTAAAATGACATCTTTCCAGTGATTCGAATCCTCGTCACTCATTGAGCTAAATGAATGAAACATATAAAGGAAGCGTTACTTCTTAATAGCCAATCTCCTAAACTTATTCAGAAACTCACAAGGACTCTTAGAAGAATGGGAAAGTAGGGGTATTAATAATGACTGCAGCATGACTAAGAAGTAATTCAAGGCCATTATGGTGTTGCCATATGCGGAAGGGACATTAGAAATCTTACGCAGGTTTCTCATTAAGATCGGGATTAGGGTGAAATGCAACCTACAATTTCACTCAGTGATAAATTTTGTCGACCTAAGGATTCCATCCACCCAGTTAGACAAATAACTTAGTTTGCAGAATACCTTGAAATGACCATAAGGTCAAGTACATAGACCAAACAAGCCGATCAAGGTTGGTTAGATGATCAGAGTTTAGAAACAGCTATATCTAGAATGAAAGAAACCCAAAATTAAGTAATTTCGAGAAGAATTTCCGTCATTGCAATGCATGTAATGATATACAGGAGAACAACAGGGAGCGGATGAGGTAGCAGTCCTAAACGGCAATCTAGTTTATAAGGGAGGTTAATTAAGGAATCTTTGTTTATACAACCAACACCGAGTAAACATAATTGAAATTAAGAAACACCTGTTCTGGAAATACAGAAGGTCCTATCACCATTAAAACCAAGGAATAACAAATGACAGAACTATGAAACTCGGATGTTCCAAGTAATGTGATTATCTTGATACGATTATGAACCATAAATTCTACTCAAAACGCCATCTAGCAAATAATACTGTTTCACTACATGTTTAGCTCAAAAGTTTGATTCAGTGTGGAATTCAACTGGTGGTTTGTGGAGACTGATGAATTCCTATGTGGTTTTCTTCAAGGACTGATATCAGAGATCTGAAAATCTGTTTCCTACCTTGCATGATCATCACCATTTGACTGAAATTTGCCCT